GAAGAGCGTTCAGCTTACCAAAGATAAGTTACTGTATTTCAAACTATGGATTCCATTTAATTTCTCCCAAAGAATCTGTACCTAATGAGTATGGGCTGTTCTTCTCTTTCCAGGACATTCGCTTGGCCAGGAGATTATATGATATGGCTGCTCAAACAAGTCCAGACGCTCACATACCTGTGTTCTTTGCCCTCACGAAACTGGAAACTGTGCATTTGTTTCGAGATATCCTGTTTTTTAATGTAAGTTTGTCTCAAATAGGTCCCAAAATCTCTGAAAACTCCAGTGAGCACCTCTTGGGAGATGGGATAGAGGCAGATGATGGCTCTGAATGAAGTGGGAGGCTTGGATTTATTTTTGACAGAATGTCTCTTGCCAGCAGTTTACCACGAGATGGAAATGGATGAAATTGGACAATACCCTTGGACCATACTGGGATTTATTTGTGATTGGCCTAATTGCTGCTGTGCTGATCTTCTTGCTTAGAAATCGCTACCTGTAGGATCTGGACCACAGAAAAAACCTGCTCACGGGGACCAGTTCACTTCAAGTCATCTTCACGAAATAAAAAATTTCTCCATCAGACTCAGGATTATGCTGCTGATATTCCATGTAGGCCTGTGATGGAAAATGGACAAAGGTTGTGACCTATCCTCTGAGAAACCATTTCAGATCTCCTGCTTAGTTGAGGTGACCACTTGGGAAGGAGGGGATTGCTGGAGACTGATCACCTAAGATTTCCTTACAAACTTCTCATCCTGGGGATCTAGTCCTGAGTTAGGGATAAAGACCACCCATTTTCATGTGGTTGTGACAGCCTGTCCCCTTTCGAGAGGACAAATGGGTTTCTTGGCTCCTACAGACATACTGAAGTTGGGAGAAGGGGAGTTTTGGGAGGGCGAGAACACAGATCCCTCAGAATGTGATAAAGGTAAAAATTACAAACAGATGCTTTGTCTTATGGGAGTGATCTGGTGAACCACATTCTATCTCCAATGAGCCAAAATTCCTCATGGCATTGCTGTGCCAGGGGGACTGATAACCTCCTCAGCCGGGGGCCTTCTATCAAAGCTCCCTTAGCAGCTGTGCAGTGAACGGCACCGTTTGGGGTCTCTCCAGCTTGCACCCCTCTCTTCCATTCCTCACTGGACCCCTGTGGAATCCCCTTTGGAGTATCCATAAAGGGAGAAATTACCAGCCTCCTAGGACAGAGGCTAAAGAGCCCGGTTCTTTATCTCCTCTGACAGGTGAAGCAGGGCTGTGGCCCAGTGCTGGGGACGGTGCAGGGAGAGAAGAGTGCAGGAAGCCCATGACTTATGTGAAGGGCCAGTCTTGGATCTCACCCTCACTGAGCCTCAGTTTCCTGATCTGCAAAGTGGGAAGATCTTCGAGATCTTAGAGAGCTGGTATGAGAATGATTGGGATAACGTATGTAAAGGAATTATCACAGGGTCCGGCATCTGGAATAAACTCCATAAATGGTAACTTATAATATTCTCTAGAAGCTCATGGCAAGTTGCTTGGAATATGCGGACAGCTGAGTTGATAGCACTCAATGTGGTTTCAGTGCCCTGCAGTTGGTTCTCCAGCCAAAATGCTGGGTGTTTATGTAGGAAAAGATTGTGCTTGCCTACTTGAAAACCCAAACTAGGGACAGGAAAAGAGTTAATTAATAATGTCGATCATGGGAATTACCTGGCAGTCCAGTGGTTAGGACTCTGAGCTCTCACTGCTGAGGGCCCGGGTTCCATCCCTGGTCGGGGGAACTAAAATCCCATAAGCCTCGCAGCACAGCCAAAAGAAAAAAGAAAAAATGTCAACCATGATCAGAAAGGAGAGGGAAATGGATTTGGAACCAGCTCTGTCCCTTAGTAGCTCTATGACTTTGGGCATAATTTATCCAAACCTGTTTTTCCTCCATAACATAGGATTAATTCCTACCTGACTGGAGATTTTTGCAATTTCAATTAGCCTGACTTCACAATTAGCCTGCTTTGTAAACATTGTACACACACATACTAGCCACAGTCATTTACCTGGCCGTTGACTACCCAGGCTTGTCTGAGGTCCGAGTGTTTACAATTTCCTGACACAATCCCTAACTTACTAGAGAGTTCCAGTTCCAAAGGAATGATAAAAGCCCCATTCACAAATGTGAAAGGAAGGAGCAGGCAACCAAACCTCAGGTCAAAGCCTAACGGACAGGAGGTCCGTGCAGTTATCGCTCTCATATGTCTGGAATGTGAGCACATCAGAGACGGGATAAGTGCAAAGAGGGGAGCGTGGAAGGTGAGCCCCGGTTCCAAGACTGGGTGAAAGATGAGCTCCTTGGAGGTAAAGCTTGTGAAAATAGCTGCAGGCGGGGTGGAAAGAGAGACTCTGCGGCTTGCTATGTACAGTAGAACACTGCCTGAAATACAGGAGCAAGGGCAGCGTGAGCTCATCAATTTCCTGTTTCAGCTCGTTGTTCCAAGTAAATGTGAGCCACAGGCTTTGAAAGCGCAAGTGGTTGGTTTAGGGTGTTTGAATCATTCAAACGTCTGTTTCTGGGCCTCTGCTCCAGAGCCTCCGCTGTAGCAGCTCCCACCACCGCGGCGCATGGACTGTGCACCTGCCCTCACCTGGGCGGCTTTGCAGTGACTGACCACTGGTCACCGTGCACTATTTTGCACAGAGCCTTCACATAAGTGTCTCAATCAGAGTACTTTTGGTTGCAAGAAAATACACCGTGTCAACTTCCCCGTGGTCTCCAGCCAGCCCAGCTGTGAGCCCTGTGAGAGTGGTGGCTAGGCCTTCTCATCTCTAGGTATCCAGGGCCTCAGATATAGTAGGTGCTCAATTAGCACTGGATGACCAACTTGCCCACACCCACCTTCCTCACATCCAACCTGGTCCAACCCACCCTCTTCTCAACACAAGCTCGTCACGAAGTGCACAATGACTCATGTTTTTATAACTAGCACAGCAGCTGGTCCTTCAGAGTTCCCGACTACAACGCAAGGGAGGTTAAAATGGAGTTTATCTGTGATTCATACAGTTTTCTCTCCTCAGGAAAACGGATGCTCTGGAGTAGGCTCTATACCTTTTAAAACTCCCGATGCCAAATTAAACCAGAATCTCTGGGGGTGGGAGCCAGGCAACAGAGCCCAGGTCGAGGTCTACTGTAATCCGCAACACTGAAATGTGCTCTAAACAAATTCGGTGTAAGGGGGTGACTCTGGGTTTTGCAAAAGACTCAGTACCGAAGACTCTTGGATGGAGAGCTGTGCCAGGGACGTTCACAAATGTACCTCCTGTAGGGTGGGTGCAGTGGCTGGGCCTCAGCTCTGCTGGGGTTGCATGAGTGACATCAGGTCTGCCGCAGGGCGCCAGACAAGACTCTGGAACATCTATGTTCCAGGCCTGTCCTCCAGAACCAGCTAATGACTTCAGGCATGTCAGTCTCTCTGTGGGACTCAGATTCCTCAGCTTCAAAATAAGAAAGATTTCTCTGATGTCTTACACCTCAAAAGTTTATTAGTTCCAATCCAGCCTCTCAGGTATAACATTAAGATCTATAACAGAAAAACGCCTTAAAATCTTTCCATGTGTGGCAAGAATAGAATTACTTTTTAGGCTGTGAGATTATTTCAATTCTTAGCTTTTGTTCCTTTTTTTCCTGCCACCTAATTAATTTCATCCAGCATTGGTACCTGTGTTTTGATATGGAAACATTGTTTGTGGTGTGTGCTTGTGTGAAATGAGTTATCCTAATTTGTGTTTTATTAATCAGAAAATAATTTCTAGGTAAAGATAAAGTGCGTCTGGAAAAAAAGAATATTCAATCTTCACCTAATAGAATATTAGAGCAAATCTCTTGTATTTGAGATTTGGATTTTGCCATAGAGGCAAAACAGCTGTCTGAGGTCCTATGACTTATTCTTTTTTAAAATGGAATAGTGACTTTAAGTGGCATCTGTTTATTAATCAATCTTCTTGTGTGAGCAAGAGGGATTTTATGTAGGACAAATGGTAAGCTAGCATCACAACAGCAGTCAATAATTTGTTCTTGAAAGCTTCTCTAAAATTCATTCTATCTAGGAAAATAATAGCTAACATATCATGCTTATAATGTGCCAGGCACTGTTCTAACTGAATGTATTATTAACTCATTAGAGCTTTACAACTACCTTCCCAGGAGGATACTGTATCATCTTCCCTCTTTTCCAGAAGAAGAAGCTGGGGTCAAGTAACTTGTCCAAGGCCACACAGCCAGGAGGACCAGGTCCAGAGTCCGTGCCTTTAACCACTGCACGGGATTGCCTTGAGAAAGTTCATAAACAACTTTTGCAAGAAAACTGAATGTTAAGTTTTCCTGCAAACATCCAAATTATTTAACAAGCCTTCACAATGCCAGGCATTGTGCTAGGTTAATGTTTCTCCAAACATGTTCAAAGTCTTGCAGGGTGCTCCTTGATAAAAGGGTTATTGGGTCATTAAGTCTGGAAGATGCCATAAAATATAGACTCCTCTGGGAGAGTCACAACAACATGAGCACATTAAAGATTCTGAGAAGTCTTATAGGATACATATCCACTTAATTTTCTTTGACCCAGCTTTTCCAACCGTATTTAGCTCCGGAAACTCTTCCTCTCCTCCTGCTCTAACCGCTACCTTCTTTTGTAGCACCTGTTAACAGCACTCGGTAATCTGAGGGCTACTGCACCGGACATGTAAGTCATCTTATGAGCTTGGCTTTCCAAGCCTTTGGAAAGGGCATTTACGCTCTGCTGGGCAATGTACTAATGCGTCTAGGAATGGCGCATGTCAGCAGTTGAGTGACTTACACAAGGTAAGCTGGTTAGTGGTAGAAAGGGGATTCAACAGGCAGGTCTGATTTCAGAAGTCATGCTGATCACGCTACTGGGCCACCCTGGTATCTAATGACAGCTGGACGTCTTGCCTGGCCTGGAGACCTATCATTCCACAATATAAGGCCCAGTCATCTCTGATGTAGGCCTTGATGTGACCTCACATCATGGTTCTAATCTTATTCTCCAGGACAAAGCCCTTCCCTGTTTCCTTCCGTTTCCAGTCCACCTGCCCCTGCTATCCGTGTCCACCTGCTGTGCATGATACCCAGATTCCACCGGGATAAGAGCTTAGCCTGGAATCCCAACCAAGTGGCTGATCCCTGGAATTTGAAGCTGAATGTGTCCGGTGCCCACTGCCTGTCTTTCCAGCATCCCGCTGCTTCATGTGCTCACGGGGATCCCCGTTGTCTGCCTGGCAGCGAGTCCGTCTGGGCCATCTCTGCGGCTGACAGAACCCTGGTTATAGCAGTGGCACTGCTCAAGGGGTTGAACACTTAGCTGAAAGGCAGAACTTGTGGACAGAAAACATCATATAAAGTGCTAATGGAGATGGAACTCACAGAAGTTCAGGATGGCCTGGGACAAGAAGGCAAGATTAAGTTGAGCTGGATAACCGACTGAGCTGAGAGTGGAAGGGACCTGGAAGAGTTTGGAGGGCAGGCGGCTCCACAAGGACCGATCCCAGCACAGGGCTGAGCATGTGTTAGAGGATGGGGTCACCTGCCTGGT